GTGGCGTCAGGTTTTCATGTCCTGACTCAGCTCAGCCAGTTACAGCCGAGGCAGAACGAGCTCAGCGCTTCTCACAGGTCCGTCCAACATTCCCCGTTTCTGGAGCAGCGCCGGATGTTCGGCATGAAGGCTTTGGCTCAGAGGAGGCCTCGAGAGAGGCTCAGCCGGCGAGGAAAGAAGCCTCGTTGCTTGGTTTCGTGTTCTGTTGGCGCTCGCAGAGCTGGAAGCACACGCTCAGACTCCCCGAGAGCAGAGCCCAGCCAGCTCTCACTACCTCGAGTCCAGGATGCTTCGTGGTCTCGTGGCTCAGAGCAGGCTTTTACTCCACGGAGGCTCATCGCTCAGGTGGTCCCTGCTATCAGCCACCAGGAGCACCTGTCCTCTGACCACCAGGTGTGATGGTATTACTGTGGAACAATGCATCAGACAACACAAATGTCAAAATGAAACAGGAAACAAAGACGCAGAAACGGGAGACGTAGCTAAGGAACAGAGGACACGACGGCCTGGAACGAAACAGGAAGAGGACACGAGACAACACGGACACAGAAACATGACCCCACAAACATCATCCTGTCACAACATCTCACAAACACCGGGAACGATTTACCTGCCGAGGGCTCAGGTGTCTGCTATGAACATCTGTCTCAGCATCTGCAGAAAAGAGGAACCAGAGCGTCTCCTACAGAGAAGCTTCAGCACACCGAAACCCACAGAACCCGACCTTTGACCTCTGTCGGGTCAGCTGGTCCGGTCCTGTTGGGTTTACATGAATCCCGCCCGCTGAGCTGCATCTGTCTGCTGATGTTTGATGTCAGTTTTCAAAGGAAAGCTTGAAGAAATCTTTTTCTGATTGTTGGGAAGAACAAAGTTCCACGCTGCCCCGGGAACGTCTCGTCTTCTGTTTGCGTGGACACATCAGACAGGAAATGCCAGATCCATGTTCATAAATCCACACCCTGAACTCTGAGGGTGCAGCGACGACGGCAGCCCTGCAGCAGGTCTGCAGCTGAGAGCTGCTGGACGCAGACGCACCAGGTTCTCTGAGCGCCGACCTTCAGCTCGCAGACCTGTGAGGATCCGTCTGTGCAAAGATTATCACTGAATCATCAGGTATTAATAACCTCTGGCTCTCTTCTGGAGACGTCCTGCACGCTGATCGAGCTGAGACGTTTATTCTGGTCTCTGAGCCGTGAGAATGAACAGCTCGGCTCTTTGCATCAAAGCCTCGAACGCTTTTGATCCAAAGCGAGCGCGAAGTCTGTTTTTTTATGGTCTGCAGATCTCTCACAAAGTTTTAGAGCAAACTCCTTTTTCTCTGAGGTCTCATCAGGGTCGAGCTCACCGTGACCCTGCATTTCCACACAGCTGCACGCCGCCTCAGGTCGGAGCTGACCCTGCAGGCCGGGGGGGCGTCGGTCCAAGCAGACAGTGATCGATGGCTGAGATTAAAGAGCGGCATATCTGGCAGCGCCCTCTGAAAGCCCCGCCAGCGGCCCGGCTCACGTTTCAAAGCGCCGGCTCAGGCCAGAGAGCCTTTGAGGCGGCGCTGATGGTAAAAGCAGGTAGAGCGCTGCTTCCTGCCGGCCTCGTTGAAACGCAGCGTTTTCTTCGCAGCAGCAGGGTTTTCTAATCACACACATGAAATATGGCGCGTATGTGAGTGTGGCTGCGGGCCAGGTGGCGGGCCAGGCGGCGGGCCAGGCGGCGGGCAAGCCAGCGCTCAGGTTTCACCTCCGTCCACAGCTGCTGGAAACAGCCTCAGACTCAGCGCGCTCTTTTTACACGCTTCACCCAAAATAATCCCTGACGGAGACATTTCAGCTTTGAAGGTGACCTCTTGGACAGCAGCTTTGCACGAGTCACCGTTCAGAAGTAATCCTCGTTAGTGTGATTAACTTCATGCTGAGCATGTGTCCCAGCAGGCGGAGCAGCAGCTCAGTGTGAGGCCTCGTGGTCACCTTGAGCTCCAGCGCTGCGCCGGCTCGTCTCGGTGCGGTTGGGCTTCCACTTTTCTGGATATGCGAGGTGTTTCCTGTGCTTCATGTCTCCTGTGATCACAAACCTGACACTCATAACAGTTATTACTAAAGTCGTACCATTCACAGTCTCTAAGCTACGTTTGGCCATCACACGAGCTGAGCTTTTCTCCACCAGAGGGCGCCGTTTTAAACGCTACTGAGATGAAATTCTTTTCATGTTTCTGTCGTCCCCTCGTTTCCTCAGCAGCACTTTCCTCTTCTAAATCAGAGTGTCTCCTTAACTTTGAGCTGTCTGCTTGAATGAGGCTCGCAGAGACTGGTTGCACCATCTTGTGGTAGAAAGTGGTACTGCATGAAAGTACAGCCCAGCCCTGTTCACCTTGTGATTGGCTGATATCGCTCCAACATGTTTGTTCACCGTCTGCTGAGGCTTTAATTCTGGACTCTTTGAAACTGTGATTAAGTTCAGGATTTAAAATGTTTATCTTTATTTTGACCTTAATTCATTTAATTACTTTTTAAAATGAAATCCCATTTACAGGTTTTTGATACGGGCGACATCAGCCAGCGCATATCGGGAATGTCACA